GCAAACTCCAAATCAGTCTGCCATCAGGAAGTAACTTGACACCACTATGCTCGCACGAGGATAGGACTGTTTCCATAATCAAATCTATAACAAAGTTAAATAGAAATGGAGAGAGAGGGCAACCCTGACGAACACCACTTTCCGTGGTGAACTCGGGAGAAAAAAGTGCCGTAAGCCCGGACGCGACTTCGGCTATTAATATAAAGCGATCGTAACATCGAAATTAACTTCTCGAGCACACCTTTCAGAAAAAGGCAGCGCCAGAGTTTAGAGCGGTCGACTGGGTCGAAAGCCGCTTTCCGATTGAGGAAGACAGAGATGGTGGATTCACGAAAAGAATGTCGATGCTCCAGAATTTGGCGGAGAGTGAAGATGTGGTCGATACAACCTCGACCGGGTCTAAAACCAGCCTGGTTCTCACGCGTGCACCGTTTATGTGCGGAAGACAATCGTCAGAGTATGATACCGTCGCGAAGTCTAGAGGCAATGTTGATTAAACTAATTCCTCTGTGGTTTTCACAGGAGGACCTGTCAATTGGTATGATCATCAATTCACATCATTCAGCTGGAACCTCTTCCCTCTCCCACACTGAGCCTAGGAGTTTTGCTAACTCCAAAACCAAGGCTGAACCTCCATTCTTAAAAACCCAATCATTCATTAGACTGGTTCACAGATTGCGAAACGAAAACATAACCTGACCAACATTAAAAAGAGTTGTGGTCAAGGTTGCCGTAAAGCTGTGATCCAATGTCAATTGGCAAACGATTATAGCAAAATAACGGACTCCGCGATCAATCGGATGCAATGTTGGGAGTCAAGATCGAGCGGAGAAATTACATCTAACCACAAGGTAATACGCGAGAAATTCCGCTGTTGATCACCAACCTCGATACCCTCGGGTTACGCAGAACTGAATGCTACCAGGCGCGTCCTCTGGTGAACAAATAAGTAATCACGAACAAACAGCGACGGCGCTACAAGGGTGTGATGGATTTCAGGCTGATCATTTGGTTCCTGTTTAAAAGCCGCATAATTCCAATGAGGGGTCGTCACAAGGGTCGATGTAACTGGCCGTTTAAAACTAAATGAGCCCTTAAGCAAATTCAATGTTGCTCACGAGAACATAATATTCACTTTAAAAATGGAAAACGACAAATTGACATTCTCAGATGTCTGTTTGAGTCGTAGATCGGATGGTTCGGTGCAACGATCAGTGCATAGGAAGGCGACTTGGAAGAGCCAATATTTTTGCAGCTTTGTACCGCTCAAAGTGAAGAGGAATTTG